TGCGCTCACCAGACAGACAGAGAGAGACATAGAGACAGAAAGCAAGAAATCACCCCCCCAGGGGGGATGGTCATGCCACAATCCCTTCTCCTCCATTCTCCTCTCAAGATCTTGGGCACACATGCACACGCGCCCGGCATGAGTTTTAAGCCACTGGGTCTGTGACGTGAACTGCGGTCGACTATGTGGGACATAGTCCAGCGACATAGCCATGACGCTAACTGCTGGTTCCCACCAGTTGCGATTCTTGACTCCAGGCTCAGTTCCTATGAAGTGTAGTGGGTTTCCTGTCCACTTTGTTCTTAGTGTGAAACCCTCCATGTCCCAACCAAATTCAGTGAGTTTAACTATGAGTCACTTTGATTGGCAGACCTTGAACTCCACTTGTTTTGTTTTGTTTTCCCCTAAGCTCACACATTTGCAAACACTGCTCAACCTCTTTGAAACTCGAGTTTCTGCACAACGTTTGTAGATAAAATTACAGAAAATTGACCCAAATTCCAAGCTGGACTGAATCATGGGTTTTAGTATTTGATATATTCAATCTTATGTTCCATCTGCTTTTCCACTATTTCTGTCTGTTCTCAGGGTGACGTGAACCGCGGTCGACTATGTGGAACATAGTCCAGCGACATAGCCATGACGCTAACTGCTGGTTCCCACCAGTTGCGATTCTTGACTCCAGGCTCAGTTCCTATGAAGTGTAGTGGGTTTCCTGTCCACTTTGTTCTTAGTGTGAAACCCTCCATGTCCCAACCAAATTCAGTGAGTTTAACTATGAGTCACTTTGATTGGCAGACCTTGAACTCCACTTGTTTTGTTTTGTTTTCCCCTAAGCTCACACATTTGCAAACACTGCTCAACCTCTTTGAAACTCGAGTTTCTGCACAACGTTTGTAGATAAAATTACAGAAAATTGACCCAAATTCCAAGCTGGACTGAATCATGGGTTTTAGTATTTGATATATTCAATCTTATGTTCCATCTGCTTTTCCACTATTTCTGTCTGTTCTCAGGGGAGATCAGGGTCTTCAGACCTACTTGTCCCTGTTCAATAGCAATAGTCTTCTTCATTGTCCCTCAAACCTCAGGTTTTGTGTTACTTCTTCCCAAGCCCAAGGCAGGGTTTCCCATATCCTCATTGGCTTTGTGTGAGCATTGAACTGTAATCTATTTTAGGATAGAAATGGTGCCTACTCCCCTCTGTGTCCTCAACACTTCAATGAACACCCAAAGCATGAGAGCCAGTTCAGAAAGTATTGGCTGAAGGATTCCCTGGGTGGCCAGAAACAAATACATCGACATCCCTCTACAGTGTTTTTGTCCCTGCTTTCTAGAGATTGTTTATTTTACACACGATCCATAGAAAATAAAGTCATAACATTGAGAATCTTTTAAATCAAAACCATGTAGAAAGTCCTTTGAGATTAACAGCAAATAGAACTTTTTAGGCAATTACTCTTTTCTGCCATCACTATCAATGGAGTCATAGTTGTTAATTTAGATGAACACCAAGCTTGATGGTATTCCCGCTGAAATGTGATGGCAGGAGCTGACATCCTAGTTATGGAACAGTTTGAATTTATTTTTATTCTTCCATATTTTTTAAAGTTTTGAGCCAAGGTGTGTATGCTCACCAGAGAAAGACACAGTGAAAAAGACAGGGGACAGGACCAGCAGTTAGCATAATGGCTATGTCATTGGACTCCCATGTAGTCGACCGCAGTTCGAGTCCCGGACCCAGTGGCTTAAAACTCACGCCGGGCACGTTTGCATGTGTGCCCAAGATCCCGAGAGGAGAATGGAGGAAAAGGGATTGCAGCGTGGCCATACCCCCTGTGGGGTGATTTCTCACTTTCTGTCTCTTTGTCTCTCTCTGTCTGTCTGGTGAGCACACACACCCTATAGCAAAAAACTCTTTCAAAAAAAAAAAAGAAAAAGACAGGGGACAAGAAATTATCCACCATGAGGCAGGGTCATGCTGTAATCCTATCTCCTACATTGATCATGCCTGTTGGAATCATGGGAATGCACACACACACATCTTAAGTGTTTTTCAAGTTATCAAGTTTGGGAAATGAACCATTCAGTCAGTCATGTCAGACATAGAAGACTTAACCACAATACAACTAGCTGACCCTGGATCATTTTAAAATTCAGTAGCTATTGCCAGCACTGAGATTCATTTACTCCTTCAACAAGGATCTTTGAAGGAGGTAGCAGGAGTTCCATTTTGAATTGTAGAAATGTCCAGAAATCAAGTGAAGGGTGAATAACACCATGTCTTAACAGGACCTCTGTAAGGCTGACTGTGTGAGGCACCATCTTTTATTAAGAGCAGCTCTCCCTGTGGCTGCAGGCAGACAAACTCACAATTCCTTCCCCACTCTGATGTGTGTAGTTGTAAGGAGCCAGGTCGGCCTGCTTTACCACACTGAACTAAAATGAGCTTTTACTGTCTGAATAGAGAATGACCAAAAAGGACTCTAATACTTCTCATAGACACTTTTAGCTTAGCTGACATACATAGCAGTGAACTGACCAGAGCCATGAAGAAAAACTTGGGATTGCCAAACATTTGCTTGTAGGCCAGAGGCTGATTTTCTTAATCTCTCCATGGGAGCCTTTGATTCTCCCCTCTGACAGTGTTCATCATTCTGTGTGCTTCTGGGGAATGGTGGAACTGAACCTTTCAATCATGGCCTTGAGACTGCTAGGAGGTAGGAAAGGCAGAATTTCCTGTGAGCTTCTGGATAATGTGTTTTTCTTTTCATTCTTAGAAATTTGTTAATGAAAGATCATGAGCAGATGGAAAAGAAAATGGAATTACTGATGGCACAGGCATACTTAAAGTTTGCTTCCAAAGAAGTACAGAAATTAAAGTGAGTTCAGATACTAAACAACCATCTTTCAAGAAAATCTGTGTTAGATTTTTATGAGTTTTATCTTTGGATAATGTTTAGACCTTACAAACATATAAACAAGTCATCAGAAGAGATAGACAGATAAGAGATATAGATACACACACACACACACACACACACACACACACACATATGGTGGAGGGGGTATAATGGAAGAATAAACAAAGTACAAATGACCAAGTAATTTTAAATACTATAAGTTTCCTGTGGTGTGGGCATGAAATGTCATAAGTCTCAAGAAAACAATTTGATATAAGTTAAATTACATCAACAAAAATTATTGTGTTGCTTTTATAAAGTAAAGTTATGCACTATGACAGATGATAAAAATGTATGTACAAGTAATGTAGAGCTTTATGATAAAAGATAGTCAATGGAGAAGAAACTGGAGAAATATTGAGATGGAAAATGAAATTATGTCAACTGAAGACTCTGTGGGATTCCATAACGGATAAGGAAACTATGCAGTAATACCTTTGATCCTACTGTATTCTTATTCATGTGAAATGTGCTTTTTATCTGGGATAAATTATGTAAAAATACAGTTCTGAGGATTATGTGAACATAGGAGTATTATTTAAAAACTACACTCAATATGGTACTTTGTGTCTGATGAAAGCAATTCTAAACCACAGGGAAAGAATTGCAGAGATGCAAGATGAAATGCAGAGAAAAGAGACCTCTTTCCAAAAGCAGGTAAGTTGCATTCTGCTGATAAATGCAGAATCCTCCAGCACTGACTTTTATAATGGACTGTAAAATACCTAAACATACAGTGTTTGTTGTGTTTTCTTTTCCAGATGGCCATTTACAAGAAAAAGGCTCAGGAGAACTGGGTAAGAATCTTTTCTTTCCTTTTTTCTGTGCACAGTTGATCATGACTGGCATGTGAATATGTTTTTCTTCTGCAGCTCAGGGCTCATACTGGGGAGAGGGCAGAAGCCAAACAAATCAGTGAGACCAACTTCTTGAATAGAAGGTAAAACACTGGGACATTTATTTTGACAGCTTATTTATGAACTTATTCAGAGAGAGAGAGAGAGATGGAACAAGAATAAGATGGACAGAGAGTACGAAACAGGCTTTTACACAGGGTCTTCTTCCTTCTATGCACCCCCAGACTAAACTTGCCAGAAATATGGGCATGGGCACATGAGCATGTGCATCTGAGGAGACCTCAGAGTGTGAATTTGGAAACTTCCTTGTGGATTTACCATTGTAATAGCATTACATCACCCCTTGCCCCATATGCTGGACCAAGGTAGACATTTTTAATGGTGTTCTTGATGATTTAAGATGAAGCTATTGAGGACTAGTAAAGGATTTGGTTTTCTAATTCTTATCAAGCCCATTTTTTCTCTATCTACAAGGTGGCCAATAATGCAAAGTCAGAGGATGCCACAGGAACCCAGGCTGTAAAACTCAATGTTGGGTGTATCTGGCATGGACATCCCTCCATGGGGAGGTAGGAGCCTGCTGAGAAGGGGGCAACTCAATGCTAGTCCAAAATGTGTATTGTTCCTTGGGTAGTTGTGATATTGTTGACCTCAGGTTCCCCAGTCTGATGGTTCTTTGGGCCAATCTTCTGTGAATGGTGGCACTCAGGTTCATCCACTGACTCTGGACAGCAGAGCCCCCACCTCTCTGTTACTTTCTACTTAAGAATGTGCTTGGAAGGAAAAATGGGTGAGCTCTTCTGTCCCACTGTGAGTCAGGGGTCAAGGCTTCCTATTATCTTATTTTTAACTTGAAGAAAACGATTGGGTCATTGGGAAAGTCAGAAGGTATTTTTTAATGTTCATACAAAAATGTATCATGGGTCAAGGCTTCCTATTATCTTATTTTTAACTTGAAGAAAACGATTGGGTCATTGGGAAAGTCAGAAGGTATTTTTTAATGTTCATACAAAAATGTATCATGTGTTTTCCAATGACTAAGTACACTAATTAATTTTTTTCATAACTACATTCAGCTACATAATATGTTTAACCCTATCATGTACAAAGCACTGTGTGTTTTTCATTACTCTCATTATTAATCTCTTTAAGTCCATTTGTGCTCATATATTTTTTATATACTCCCTGGTCAGGTATGGAAGGCAGATTATATATAGACCAATATTGAAAGAACTCATTCAGGATCAAGGAAAATCTCTGGTGCTGCTCATATAATTGGTTTATTAACATTCTTTCTAGCCAACTGGTTTCTATTTCACATTTTTTCCTTTGCTAAAATTGTAATTTCTCCTGTGTTCATTGGGAAACCCCACTTTTATTTGTGATTATTAACTAGTTTGTGCCCTGATCTATATACTGTTGGTTGTTTTTTTTTTATTTATTTATTTTTATATTTTATGAAAACCCCTGCTCTGTGTTCTATGGTGTCTCTTTGAAGGTCAGGGCATGGACTTCCCATTGTCTCAGGGGTCATTTGAGGGCTCTGATTAAACCCTCTGCCTCTGATAGGAGAAATTTGAGAAGAGTTAGACACAAAAAATAAAGTGTTTGTAATCCATGTGCCCAAAACATGCAAGTCCGACTAAACCCCTGTACTTCTCTGGCTTTAGCAGACACAGGAGCCTGTGCAGTGTGCATGAAGAACAGCAGCTTGATGCCTCCTGAGGACCAGTACAAGGGAAAGGTCAAGGCTGACTTCATATTCTTTGTAAGGATTTCTGGAAAATTTGTCTTTTTCTGTGACCTCTAGCTTATCCTCTTTCATGGTGTGTCCTCTGATATTTTAGCATGTCTTTACTTGTCAAAGTGCAAAATAATCTTCTACACGAATCTTTAGACTTCTAATAATTCGCAGCTGTTGTCAATGGTGGAGCCTGAAGAAGCTTGTTTACAAGCTGAGGACTGCAGATTAACCTCTACACTCCCAGCGAGGAGCATCTGCTTTGTCAGCCAGTGAAGCAGTGGGCCAAGAGGGACTACAGGCTGAGCTGGTGTGGACTCCTGCTCTGCCTCCTGCCAGCTCTGTGACTCTGAGCAAATTCTCTAGTTCCCCTGAGGACTCTGTTGTCTTCCATTTAGAGTCAATATTCTGTTAGGTGTGTTTAGGTCTGATGTAGCTTGTAGAGTTCTGAGAATCAGAGACAGGACATAGAAGGCCAGGGGAAAGCTCTCCTATTGGTGGCTTTTACTATATGTGATGTGAATGGGTTTTCTTTCTTTTCATTCACTCTTTTCCTAGTCTGAGTCAGACAAGATTCTGTGCAGTAGTGAGGGAGACATGGGGCTGGCATGTACATAGATGACCCTCTGCCTGCTCTATGCTTCAGTGTCTCACATAAGCATACTTCCTCTTAAATCATTAAACATGTCATTAGGATTTTTTTTTTATCTTCAGGTTTTTTTTTAAGTTACATAGTGCAAAATTAACCCCTCTTTTTGTGTGTTCACTAACTCACAAGATATATATATAGCAGTATAATGTAAATACATTTCAAGATATAAAATGTTATGTTACCCCAGAACGGAGTGACTGTCCCAGAAGAGGGAATGCTATCTCACCTTTCTTCACTCTCTCAGGAAAGAA